TATTTCAAAAAAAAAAAACATCGCAAGAATACATCATACACACATAAAGGAACAAAGTATCATTCAGCCTGTGAGGTGTTCATAGACAGGAGAGATGGTTGCATCTCTCCTGACAGGGATGGGAATAGCCTTCAGGCTTTCCTGTCAACACATTCGGTTATGGCAACCCACTCTCTAAGTGGATCTATAGTACAATTCAGCCCGTGAGCTTGGAGCAAATCATTAGTATTAAGCTTGCTAACAACCATGGTCACAACAAAGACCATCCAAAAATATTGATTCTGTTGGCAAGTGTATTTGCATAGTAAGTAGAGTAAATGATACATTAGAAATATACCTCTCTCACATAATTAGTAGTGTTTCCTTTTATTATTTATAATCTGTATATATGGGACCTTATTATTCAATAAAATACACACTTTATTCTCCATATCGTCTCATATCTCTTGGTCAAAAAAAAACCTTAAACTCTTTTACAAACTTTATTTGGCCTTCATTGCCAAAATAAGTCACAAAACCTAAGGAGCGCCTTCATTGTCGGCTACCACCACCCAGCAGCCAGCAGCCAGCTACCAAAAGACCCGCCACCAGCCCATAAAACTGGCTTTCGTAGCCAGCAGCAGACCTCAGCCACCAGCCACCCCATGAGTGTCCCCCTATCTGGCCAAACCCCATTAAAATAGTTTCTCTCCATGGCACACAAAATTCCTTCTTCTTCCCACCTTCCTTAAGGAAAGAGAGAAACACTTAAGGTAAGGGAACGCAACCTAACTAGAACCACAGAATCTGTACGAAAGCCTCCAAGTCACCTCAAAAAAGAAAAACAGATTATTATGGGATTCGGTCACCTTGAAACACTAACAGAAATCCAGGGGAAAAGAGGAATTAGGCCTGCGAGATATGCAACTAATCATTGGCGTTGAGTCCAGTCAGAGATACTTGAACAGTTGTCTAAACAAAACCTTAACCTTATAGAAAATTTTGAAAATTACTTAATGAAAGTTTCATTGTGTCAAAAGGAATTATCGCTCAGATGCAGAAAGAGAGACTTGTAAGAGTATACATTAAAAGGCTCTAAGATCCAGATTTTACTATCCACATGCGGGGAGACACTAAAAAGCTATAAGATGTTGAGTAAAGAGATAATGTTATTAGATAACCTTCGATTTCTAGAGAAAAACAAATTACAAAAGACTAAACCATCCAACTGATTGAGAAATTGACTGATGGGAGCATGACGACATAAAGAAACGTTATAGAGGAGAGGGAAAGGATTAGAAAAGGGAAGATTCCCTGTACAGAAATCTTTCGAAAACAAATTACAAGAACTATAACTGGTTCACCATGCATACCCTAAAAACAACCTCCAATTGCTATCATCTTCAGTACCCTCAAGAAAAGCATCAACCACCTTCCTCATTCATTATGTTCCTTCAACTCTAATAACCTTCCTATGTTTTTCTACCCAAAGAGAAGTTCAAGATTCATTCTTCACCTGCACAAATTCCTAGTTTAAATGTTGGGTCCCCTTTACTAGAAAAACTCACCAAACGCCTTAAAAACCATATAATTCAAGTTCGAAGTGAGAGATTAAGAAACAACTTTGGAAACTGTTCTGCATTATGATTATAGCATCTGCCTCTTTACCTTCAAAAACAATATTGAAGGATGTTCGATCCACAAGAAGAAATTTTTTCGATGATACAACTGGTAAGGAAACACAGAGGAAGAAATACTTGTCCTCATAAGAGTTTCTGCAACTAGTCATTATACAACATGAGAAAGCATATCCTATTAATTTTTCCCATGAATGGGGTTGAATAGATGATACAAACATGTATAATTTAAGTTCCTAAATAGATGACATGTATAAATTAAATGATGAAGCATGCAGCTTTATTTAAATTTTGAGTTCAAGCAGTGTTAGTAGAATTCCACTCCGGTCCAACCGCATCCAACCCACATGCTACTTGCCACTTGCCACTCCCAAGCAACAGAATTCCAAAACAGAACAGAGCATGGCAAAAACAGATAGAACCATCAAACGCGTAAACTTCTAAGTCAATCTGCGCGCCTACACACCGCTAAAACCCTTCAAATTCAAAGATACACCTATTCGAACTAATTAGCTGCAAAATAGATTTGCAAGGTATCATTTTCCAAAAAGAAGTTTTATCCGAACATATTAATAGTAAAGAAACAAGGAATCAAGTCAGGCCACTGATCTCATTGAGTTGAAATTGGAATTACGAACTTAATACCCAAAAGCCAAGAAAATTCATCAAAGGAAACTCGAAACTGAAGATCAAAATGGAAGAGAAATACCAATATCGTAAACTACTATGTCCCTGAGAAATCTCTTCTCGACAAGTCCACCAAATATCACAACCTTCGATTTCCCGATGCCGACAGCAGTATGACCACTGGTAATCGGAAGATCAATCAAAAAAAAAAAAAACTTGATTATATACCCATTGAAATTCACACTAAATAGAAAGAGATAGTACCTGCGGGGTTGCGGAAGAGTTCCACTGAAATCAGAGGAAGAAGCTCGAACCCAGTAATGCATTTTTACGTCTCTGCCCGATGCGTTTTTTTCTCTCCTCCAACTTTTTTACTTCCAATTAATTTTCCCTCTTTGGGGACCTTGCAAGTATGCCTGAAATTTTGGACTTCCCCTTTCCCTTTCCTTTTTGTTTTTTTTTTTTTTT